TTAAAATTATATATTTTGATCTTTAACGGAATCTTGTTAATAGTTATCTTTAAAAAATTTAAATTCTTTAAGCCAAAGGAGAAGGAAATAATTCATGTTGCTAAATTTAGAATCACTTTAAAGAATCAAAATGTTTTGCTAGTTTAATCTTTAATTTTCATGTTTTATTTTATTTTATTTTTTTTGTATAATTCTCTTTTTACCCGTCAGTTTTTTTTTTTTTTTTTTTTTTGTGAATTTAATTTGTATTATATTATGTATAGTGTATAACATTGATTAAATAAATAAATGAGCCAATTTTCACATTTTAACCAAAAAATAATGAATTTAAAAAAATAAAACCTCTATACTTAGGAATTGCTGACCCCGTTAAAAATCTTAAATTCCTTAATGTTAATATTTTTAAAACCTTGAATTCATACTTGAATAATCAAGATGAGGGCAAATACTATTCTTTTTATTAAATAAACCTGTTGTAAATTATTCTGTAAATTTCAAATATTTTCAATCCGCTAAAGAGAAACTTATACAAAATTCATTTGTCATAAAAAAAAGTGTCGACATATCAAAAATTTAGGTGCATCTGAATTTTCACGTGATTACTTAATTAAACGCGTGTCACGGTTTAATATTTTTTTAAAAAAAAAAAAAAATTCTAAAATATAATTACGACCTAAGATTCATCATACATTTCAGTTCCAAATTTCTTGACGACACCCAACCTTACATAATTCTCAATTACTTCCATATTCCTATATGAGCTAATAAATCTATCACCAACGAGAATAAAAGAAATAGGTTGATGTGGAGTACGATCCATCCAATTTATAAAAAATGATTCCAATTCTACTGGAGATAATTCCGATTCCGTATCATTGTCTATCTTTAATTCATGAAAATTTTTTGGCGAATATTTCGATACCACATCCAACATTTCACTCTCCTTTAAATTTCCCGCGCCACATTTCAACTTTAAACTTTCTAAAGATTGACAACCATTGAAAACCGTCATCAAGGTTTCCAATTCATTTCTCATAAATCTTGAACAAAATTTTTTAAGGTTTGGGCATAATTTAGCTACGGTTAGATTTAATAAATTGTCATGACAACCAACGTAAAGTTGTGTTAAATCCTTTCCATTGATTTCTAAGAATTTAATCAACATTTCAACCTTTGGAAACGCATATTGAAATTTTAAAATACGTAATTGTGGGTATTTGACATGTTGTAAATTGTGAAAATCAATAAACGCATTGGTGTCGTCAAATGATAAGGTCAACTGTCGTAAATGAATGAAAGTATTTAGGCAAATTAATGGTATCTTTGCATCAATTCCAAATATCTCTAATTTTGTTAAATTCAAGGGAATTTTGGATAGAGAAGTTATTAAGCGCACCCAACCCTTTTCGCTACCATAAGCTGCTATTAATGTAACGTGTTTTAAATTCCTTTGCATGGAAATTAAATCTGTCAACCCATTTGAAACGATATTTTCGATTATTATCGTAAGCGTTTGAACGTTATGACATATTTGTGATAACTGATAAAAAAATTCGGAGCAAATGTTGGAATCACAACTAAGTATTGATAGATTGGTCATACAATCCTTTGCCCCTGGGAAAGAAGTAAAAGGTAATTTGATGATCCTTGAAATTCCTACGTAATAATCTAAAGATTTTAAGGATGAAATTTGTCTCATAAACATTTTTAACATTTCTTGTAATAATAAATATTCATCAAAGTCTAGAAATTGTGAAGTAATTAATTGTCGAGTTTCAAGAGCGTAACGAATCATCAGATAAATTTCCCGAATTGAAAGGAATTTGCAATATGAAGCATAATTAAACAATGAAGGTTTCCAAGCTGTCGTTGCGATAATAATTCCATTCTTGTTTAAAAGGTCCTTTGATTCATTAGGAAGGCAAGTGATCAAGGTATTAAGAATTTGTGCCGGCACATCCATCCGAAATCTCATGGGAACTGTATATTTAAAATTCCAAACGTTCCTCCATAATATTCTGACGGAAATTTCACACCAAAGGCGATTGACTAATAAGCATGAATGCAAAGCAACTCTGTCTTCCTCCAAATATTCAAAAATTTCGTTTAGGCAATCAGCGGAAAGTTTAGACATTTTGAAAAAAAAAAAAAAATTATTTTATGTAAGGATGAAATGGTTCAAAACTTTAATTCAGCAGTTTGTGCTACTATTTTGTATCAAATTTAGAGAATTGCAATTTTTACTTTATTTGTCCATGTGATTTGCGTAACATGCATCTTTATAAGCTGCATAAAGATCTACATTAATTAAAACTATTTTTATCAAAGTATCATCCCTTCCGTTTCAACTTCTCGTACGACTTGATTTTTAAAACATTTAACCATCATTAGACAATTGTGGGAAAATTTCTTCGTACGAAGACGTTTATTCTTAGTATGTAATGATTTTTGATATTCGCAACTTTATACTTTCTAGAAGTTCTATCTTTTTAAACACGTAAAAAATTGTAATTACAGGAGCTTTATTTACATAAACTTTATTACGCAATAAGAATCCTTCATAAAAATCTAACTTTAACAGTTAAATAAAATGATTCCGAAATAATGTACATATATATATATTCTGATAATTGTCTAGGCCAATCTATCAGTATTTGTTTTATCAAATATGTCAAACAGTCGATCTTTGGCAATATGCGCCATATAAAGCACCTGAAACTCATCATTAGTTGCATTAGTTGCACACAAATTCAGGGGTGAGAATTTCTCTTTCTCATAAGATATATATAACATGGAGATTTTTTTCTTTTTGTAAGGTGGCGACCAATGTGGATAAAAGTGATTCAAAAAAAAATTGATGCGCTTGATGCGACGTTGAACTTGGTACTTGGGGTTTAGGGACCTCACATGTAGTTAGTTGTGACAAGCTTCCTTAATCAATTTTGTGGAATGATCAAAATGAAGTTTACATAATACATCAAGATTAAAGTTTAGATGAGAATAGTCTTTAAAAAAAGAAAATCGGTCAATTTTTGACGATCCAACAAATTTCTTTTTATGACAAAAACTTGTAATCTTTATTTTGCTCACACGCATTCATATTTCCTAATCGATTTTATAAGAAAGAGATTTAGCTTAAATGATTTTTTTTGTTTGTTTGTTGTTGAAAAATTAATTGAATTGAATAAAAAAAATTATAAAATAAAATTTTTTTCTTTATTCGTTAGTATGAGCACAGTCTTTTAATAAAAGAATTTCTTTAGGAAAATAAATACAAATTCATATAAATGAAAAGAATGATATGTGATTTTGTAAATTTTATTCAAAGAACCGTCTGTTACATCCCTTTACAATATAAAGGAAGGGAAAACGATTTAACGCTCCCTTTCTATTGCAAAGGGCTCGTTTAAATATTAACTTCCCGGTTATAAATAAAGAAATGAATCGTGATAAAACTCGTCAGAACCATAATTTATTTCTTGGTATCGTCCTAAGTATTAATAAATTTTACAAATGTGAAAATTCACGAATATATATTGTAAAAATTCTTCAATTGAGTTGATTTCAAAAAAAAAAAAAAAAAAATTGATTACGCGTTTCAAATTAAAATACGCGACCCTCATTCTAGAATTTTATTCAAAGTGATGTAATTGATTTCTGCCTATTACAAAAATAGTAAGAGGTTAATAATAAATAATAAAGGTTATACATAAAAGTAGGAAAAAAAAAATCTTAAAAATCAAAAAATGTAATCTATATTTCCTCAAAGCTTTCAGTTCCAAGTTTTCTAATAACGCCTAACTTTCTATATTTCTCAATTATTTTCATATTCTCATCATTTACGTATAAACCAATATCGTCATTAAATACGAATACGATGATGAGAGAAAGAGATTTTTGTGGTTTACGGTCATTCCAACTTGTAAAAAATGATTCAAACTCTTCCGGGAGTAACTTTGATTGCGTATAATTATCCACCTTTAACTCATAAAAATTTTTCGGAGAGTATTTTGAAACCACATCCAACATCTCTCTCTCCCTTAAATATTTCGCACCGCAAACTATCTTTATACTTTCCAAATGTTGACAACTATTAAAAACCAATTTTAAAGTTTCTAATTCATTCTTCATGAATATTAAATAAAGCTTTTTAAGGTTAGGACAAGATTTAGCTACCGCTAGATTTAATGAATTGTTATGATAACCAACATAAAATTCTGTTAAATACTTTCCATTGATTTCCAAGAATTTAATCAACATTTCAACCTTTGGGAACGCGTATTGAAATTTTAAAATCTGTAAATGTGGAAATTCGACATATTGTAATTTATGAAAATCTAATATATCAGTATCATCATATGATAAAATAATTTCTTGTAAATATGTGAAAGTACTTAGAAATGATAACGGCATATAAGCATCATACCCAAATATTTTAAGTTTTGTTAAAGGAAATCTGGCCAAGGAAGTTATTATTTCCGTCCAATCATTCTCACCCCCATAAGCCGCTATCAATGTGACGTGCCTTAAATTCTTTTGCAAAGAAATTAAATCCGACAAACCGTTTGAAATGACATTTTCAAACGTGATGGTTAATGATTGAATATTTTGACATATTTGTGATAACTGAAAAAAAAACTCGGAACAAATGTTTGAATCACAGCTAAATACTGATAGGTTGGATAAACAATTCTTTGCCCCAGGGAAATAAGTGAAAAGTATGTTTTGAACCGTTTTTGAAATTTCCAAATCATAATCCAAAGATTTTAAGGATGAAATTTGACTCATATACATCTTTAATATCTCTTGTAGTATCAAGTACTTGTAAAAGTTTACGTTATGCGAAGTTGAATTTTGTTGCTTTTCAACGGAATGACGAATCATTAAATCCACTTCACGAATCGAAAGATTTTTACAAAATGATGCATAGTTAAACAATGATTTCCAAGCTTGAGTTGTGATGAAAATACCGTTCTTATATAAAAGTTCTTTGGATTCATTAGGAAGGCAAGCGATCAAAGTATTGAAAATTTGTGATGGCACTACCAATCGGTACTGAATGGGAACAGTGTATTTAAAAGTCCAAACGTCCCTCCACAAGATTCTGACCGAAACTCCACACCAAAGACGATCAACTAATAAGCATGAATGTAAACTAATTTTATCATCTTCTAGATATTCAAAAATTTCGTTAAGACAGTCAGCGGGAAGTTGACTAGGATTGTTTGACATTTTTTTGTAAAAAAGAAATTTTTTTTTTTTTTTTTTTTTATTTGTTCATTTATAACTTGAAATTTGCAGCTGAGTGCTACCGAATTATATATATTTGGCCAATATTTGGTCTTACAAGTTTTATCGATGTACGCAGGGTGACACAGTCGTCACAAAGTATTAAGATTTAATAATGTGACTACCGTGAACGATTAATTTATTATTAAAAAAATAAAGTATGTAATTTTGTGGAAATAAAAGGAGAAAAGTAACAGCAAAAGAAACAGATCCAATGTTAATAAATTAATATGCATTAATTATTTAAATTATATATCTTGTTTTAAAAGTAATATGTAAACTTTTTTATTTAATTCCGTTGATTAATAAACACACGTTTATCCTATGGTACAAGTTACAATTATAAATCGAAGGACTCCATTCGAATGTCCAAATCAAAGGATAAATTTAAAATAAGTGTCAACAAGTATGACAAAAATAAACGAATATCGAGTGGTACTGCGGTATAAAAATTCATTTACTATTATCAAAAATCTACATCACTTAAATTTTCTAAATGATAAATTAAATTAGAGTAGTGGTCATAGTTTTTGACTAACCATGTTAGTTGTAAATTATTTTATATTTTTTTTTATAATGGTATGGTAATGTTTTTATTTTTTTAAAAAGTACTAAAAAATATTAGGATTTTTCATTATGGTATTTTTGGTAAAATATGGGAAAAAATAAACATCACATCATTGATTTAATTAAAATGATTTATCAAGATCCACAATAACAAAATGATCTTGTTTGTCATATGAATTTATATTCTACCCATACTAATCAAAAAACCAAATAAAATGATTTTCAATACGAACAATAAAATTTTCCCATCAAAATCTTGCTTTTTTTTATTATTAATGGATTAGAGGTTTTTTTTCTTATTCTTTTTCAGATCTTTTTTCAAGTATCTAAACTTAGCCATAATGATTGATACCAAGAATAGATGCTATTAATAGAGACATTATTTTACACGATTGAAAGATTGAAATGAAATTACCATTCAAAGGATGTTCATTAAGAAGTTGGAAGTTTTAGTAATTTCTAGTTCGTTAATGAGATTTCTATTAAAAGTATTTTTACAAGTTAATGATCCAGTTTTTATCAAAAATAATTCTTCAAGTATTTCTTTCGTAATTGAAATTTCAATCTAACTTCAAGAAAGAATTCCAACGACTATATAAACCATCGCTTTTTCTCTTCCAAAAATCTTCACTTCGATCTGAAGAACTCATCCTCTATATAAATCTACTTCCTCTTCCAAATAAAAAAAGTTTCAAATAAAATAAAATTTTATCAAAAATTTACCTTAACGAATACTTTCAAAATGATTGTTAACAAAATTGTTTTATTGTCGGTTGTTTTAGGTGCATTCTTCCTTAATGAAGGTAAACTTTTATAAAATAGTATATACTTGAATATAAAAAAAAAAAAAGGAAAGGAAACGAAAATAGGAGATTCTTTTTTCTGATTCACTTTTTTTCTTTAACACCTTTCTTAGTAAATGCGGCACCTGTTGCCGAAGCAGCTCCTGTTCCTGAGGCTGTGGCTGGTGCATATGACTACGACTACGATTATGGCAAGGATTATTATGATTATGACCATGGAAAAGATGATTATGATTATGACCATGGAAAAGATGATTATGATTATAGCCATGATAATTATAAACGCGACGCTGGAGGTTATGGATATCACGATAGTGGAAAGAACCACGGTTCTTATAAACGCGACGCTGGAGGTTATGATTATGAATATGATTACGATTATGGTAAGGACCACGGTTCTTATAAACGCGACGCTGGAGGTTATGGATATCACGATAGTGGAAAGAACCACGGTTCTTATAAACGCGACGCTGGAG